CTCGAACTCGCGGGCTCAGGCAATCCACTCACCTCAGCCTCCCAAAGGCACGGGATTACAAACTGAGCCACCGAGCCCGGCTGACAAATAAATTAAAAAAATAAATTTATCTCCTCATTCACTACTAAGTCTCTGAATGTATTGAAATCCAAAACAGATTTTAAATGTGGTTATTCTGTTAAAGCATCATTTGATGGAATATAAAAATATGGCAAAGCCGGGTTTGGTGGCTCAGCCTGTAATCCCAGCGCTTTGGGAGGCCGAGGTGAGTAGACTGCCTGAGCCCGCGGGTTTGAGACCTGCTCGGGCAACTTGGCAAGACCTCATCTCCACAATAAATCAAAAATTGGCTGGGCGTGGTAGCGCACGCCTATCGTTCCAGCTACTGGAAGGCTGAGGCAGAGGGATCACCGGAGCCCAGCAAGTCGAGGCTACGGTGGCCAGGAGTGCCACTGCACTCCAGTCTGAGTGACAGAGTGAGACTCCAACTCAAAAAAAAAAAATATGGCAAAAACACCTTGATGATTTATAGTTTGAAGAATTCACTAAAAACTTTCAGAAAGTATCTCTAAGACCATATTGTTTTATTGAGACATTGAAGACAGGCACAGTGTCTCATGCCTGTAATCCCAGCACTTTGGGAGGTGGAGGCAAGAGGATTGCCTGAGCCCAGGGGTTCAAGACCAGCCTGGGTAACTTGGCGGGACCTAATCTACAATTTAAAAAATCAAAAAATTAGCTGGGTGTGGTGGTGCATGCCTGTAGTTCCAGCTATTTGGAAGACTGAGGTGAAAGGATCGCCTGAGCCCGGCATGTCAAGGCTGCAGTGACCGTGATTGTGCCACTGCACTCCAGCCTGGGTGACAGAGTGAGACTGACTCAAAAAAAAAAAAGTAAACAAAAGAAACATACTGAAAAATAATTCAATTACTATTTTGCAAATTGTCAAAATAATTATACTCAGGTAATTCATTTTCAAACTACAAAAAAGGTAAAATTGTTGAAATTTAAGAAAGGTAACTCATTAAACTTGACTATACAGTGAAAAATGAGAGAGAAGGTATGCTAACAGTAAGTGACCTTTACTCTTTACTGTTGACCTGGGAGAGGCAGTAGGTTGACAAAACCACATAGTTCTGTAAACTCTCTGCATTTCCCATCTTCCTGCTTTCTGATGACTGGCCTCAGGTGAGCGAAAGCTCTTCATAGATCCTGTGTTACAAATAGCCTTTTCTTTTTTTTTTTTTTTTTTGAGTTGGAGTGTCACTCTGTCACCCAGACTGGAGTGTAGTGGCTGCTCCCAATCACTGCAGCCTCGACCTGCTGGGCTCTGGCGATCCTTCTGCCTCAACCTTCCAAGTAGCCAGAACTACAGGCATGCGCTACCACGCCCAGCTGATTTTTTATTTATTGTAGAAATGAGGTCTCATCAAGTTGCCCAGGCAGGTCTCGAACCCACGGGCTCAAGTAATCCACTCACCTCACAAATAGCCTTTTCTAATCTTGTGTTTACTGTGAAGACTACTTTAAGTTATGGAAGCTTGTCTATTGGATGACTTGTGTAATCATAGCTTTTTTTCTCCCCCCAGCTGAAAAGGGGTACTTGGTTAAGTGCAGGGAAGAATGGGCGAAGACCAAAGATCCAGCCGCTGCCCTCAAAAAACTTCCTGTCAAAAGGTGTGTGGAAGGGCAGCTGCTTCGAGGACTTTCCAAATATGGAATGAAGAATATAGTCTCTGCATTTGGCATAGTGAGTGCGATTTGTGAAGTCAGGGAATGGCTCGAGGTGTTTAAATGCTTTTTAAATTTTATCTTGAAAGATTTGCTAGATTTTAGAAGGGCAGAAGGTAAATAAGGATCCTTTGGTGAAAGCTGAGAGATATTTTACTCGAGTGATCCTTGTTTAGACTCTGAATGGTGATGAATGGGATGGATGTTGGTATCATTTATTAACATTGAGGGCACGAAAAAAGCATCAGTGTGGAAAACATGATCTCCATTGGAAATTCAGTTCAAATTAAATCTACTGGTACTTGAGAAACTCAGAATCTGCTATATAGTCATTTGTTGATTATTCTCCAACTGCCTTAGTAAGAGGGTTGGACAGTAAGCAGTCCAAACAGTTGTGTTTTAGTCCAGTTTCGTGTGTGGCCAGTGTCAGTATTTGGAGGGCTATGTATGAAGGGGGACCCAAAAAAAACCGAATTTATTTATTAAAAATTGTGTATTTATTCTTACATGCTTACACTTCAGTCACCTTCAAAGTACTCTCCATTTGATGCAATATACTTGTCGAGACACTTCCTTTTTTTTTTTTTTTTGCAACTATTTTATTCAGAAAAAAACAAAAAGATAAGGCAGAAACAAAAAATCCTGGTCATTTGCAGTATCTGTCAGCTTTCAGTTTGGCTCTCCTGTCCAGAAGCGTCTCATCCAAAAATCCATCTTTCCAAGCCTTTTTAAGAATTTTACTGTCAGCCGGGCTCAGTGGCTCAGCCTGTAATCCCATGCCTTTGGGAGGCTGAGGTGAGTGGATTGCCTGAGCCCGCGGGTTCGAGACCCGCCTGGGCAGCGAGACCTCATCTCTACAATAAGTAAAATAATCAGCTGGGCGTGGTATCGCATGCC